AAAAAAAGACTAATTTTGATTCATAAACAGGTAAAAATGCAAAAAAATTTCAAAAAATACAAAAACGCAAAGTAAAATTTTTAATTTGAGTTCTCTATATCASGAAAAACATTTTTCTGCTATTTTTTAAGCATCTCTTATTTCTAAAGAAATATGTAAATGCTATAAAATCTCAACCCTGGTCATTTATGGTATACATATGTACCGGTATGAAAATTGGCAACAACTTCGTATGCAATCGGGTAGTTAAAAATCAGGTAAAATCATACGAAATCGTGTAGCTATTAAAAAGGTATCGAAGATAACGAACGTACGCAATCATGTTTTCTACCCACTTATTTGGTACTTGTTACTTGTTAGGCATATTATACTAATACATTTTTTTTTTTTTTATAATATAAATATATTTACAATCTGTAACATAATAAAACAATAAGTAAATATGAGATTTTTTTACCAGGTTTGGAGGCTTGGCTGAAGGGTGCGTCCATTGACACTATTTCAAACTGGTATTTTTTTTTATTTAGCGAAGTAAATCACGATGCCAATTTAAGACAATTTTTATATTATTAATATTACATTTGGCTTGTACCTGCTCGCGCGGTAGCGCTTCCCTATTTCTTTAACACACATAAACGGCATGCAAACAATTTGAAAGTTGCCTATTTTGAAAATGATAAAATTTAAAATTTTTAAGTACTGCAGATTATAGTTATTTGAAATTTGAAATTTTGTCTTTTTTAGGTGACATAAATCCCGTCAGACCTAAAACATAACTTAGATGTATGGCTACCTATATAAATTCGATTATTCAAAATTCTGTTTACTCTAGTTTTGTTATAATTTCATCATTTTCCTAAATCGATAATGTAAAACGCAGTGTTAATTATTGTCATGTATATTAAATGATAACAAATATCTATAACTATTGTTTATTTTGTAGTATTCTCGTATACAGATAAATAATACGTGTCCCCTTTTTTTTTAGTCGGCAAATCGAGCATGAAAAACGCACGAAAAGCACAAAAACTATATAATACCTTGATTCGTATGAGAATTTCGCAAAAAATACGATTACAGTATTTATGTATTTACATTCAAGGTAATATTCCAAGAATAACCTGAAAAAACCCAGATTTTGAAGATAGAAAAAAAATGTC